CAGACATTTTAATCACGAGGGCTGACAAGGGTAACACCACTGTAGTGTTAAATCGTAATGATTATATTAACAAAATGTACGAAATTTTGAATGATAATGATACTTACATTAACGTCACTAAAGATCCTACTAATAAATTGACGACAGAAATACGTACAATTTTAACACGTTGGAAAAATAAGGGTTACATAAATCAATCTATTTATAGTAAATTATATACTTCAGATGGAGATTGTCCTAGATCTTATGGGTTAACCAAAGTACATAAAGAGGGATATCCTTTCAGAATGATAGTAAGTTGTGTAAATAGTCCATTTTACAATCTCGCAAATTTTTTAAAAGATATTATAGAAAAAAGTATAAAAAAGAAATTTGGTTACATCAAGAACAGTTTTGAATTGGTTAGAAAACTTAATGGCTTAAAAATAGATAATAATTTTAGTTTAGTATCATTCGATATCACCTCTATGTACACTAACATTCCGATCGAATTAGTTTTAAACAGTTTTTCAAGAAGATGGAATTTCATTGAATGTAACACAACGATACCGGAAGATGAATTTAAATTGGCTTTATCTATCATTATAAATTCCACGTATTTTAAATTTGACGGATTGTTCTATAAACAAATTTTTGGCTTACCCATGGGATCCCCCCTTTCTCCAATATTAGCTGATATTGTTATTCAAGATTTGGAATCCAACATTTTCAATGAACTCTCCACTCATATGCTTTTTTATTACCGTTATGTTGATGATATTATTATGGCTCTTCCTAAGGATAAGATTGACTCCACATTGAATTGTTTCAATTCTTACCACGAGAGAATTAAGTTTACTGTTGAACATAGTAATAAGAATGGAATAAACTTTCTTGATGTAAAGTTGCTAATTGAGAATGGAAGATTGATATTTGACATTTATAAGAAGCCCACAGATTCTGGAAGATATCTAAATTTTTATTCAAATCATCATGTAACGCACAAAAGAGGAGTTATAATAAATCAGTTAGACAGAGTGATATTTCTTTCTCACCCGAAATTTCATGAAATAAATATTAACAATCTAATCAATACTTTGCTGAATAATGGGTATCCGTTACAATTTTTGTTTGCAACAATTAAAAATAGAATAAAATCCATAACTTACAAAAAATCATTTGAATTTATTAATGATCAACGAGGAAATATGGATTCATCTAACATATCGAAAAAATATTTTACTGTTCCGTTTTATAAAAAAATTTCGGAAAAATTTTTACCTATTATAAATAAGTTTAATTTTAATATTGCTTATAGACCTATAAATAAATTAAGTTCCATTATAAAAACGGGCAAAGACAGAATTAAAAAAGAAGATCAATCAAATGTTGTATATAAAATAAATTGCCAAGATTGTGAATCTACATATATTGGACAAACAAAACGCAAACTTAGAACTAGAATAAAGGAACACAAAAATGATTACAAAAAACCAATGAATAATTTATCGGTTGTTTCTAGGCATATATTAGAATTTAACCGTGCAATAGATTGGGATAATACTAATATTGTTGATTCTGAACAATCATATTATAAAAGAATGATCTCTGAGATGATACACATTAAAAAACAAAAGAATAGTTTGAATAAGCAAAGTGATACGGAACGGTTGCCTGACGTATACATTCCGATCATCAGCCAATGCCCCTCTCTCACATAATATCGGTTAACTCTTTCTAGATCTCTATTTTCTTTGTCTAACAGTAAAAGATAAATACGACTTGTACTCGTGTAAACGGTCACAAGTTACGTACCTCTGAAATATGTTCTCAGGAATAGCGATGAATTATTTGAAAATTATAATTCTTATATTTGAAAAATCGTACGGTGGAATCTGATTAATTTGATAGTGGAAGATAATCTGTTAAAAGTGTTTGTGTAATGCATGTATCTACAAATATGTGGTGAGTTCATTGAAGGGTATAACAGCTATATTAATAATTGAATTTATATGAAGAGATTTTATACTTAATATAGTTCTAAATAATCTTTTTCAATTTTATGTTTTTGGTTTTCGATCACAACTATTATTGTATAATTAGCATCTGGCAATCACATATTTAAAATGGATATTATGCAAGTATTAACATATTGACTTTGATGAACAACGATCTATAAAATTTCATGCTTGTTTGGACTGGAAGTGGCTTCCGACTTTTGACTAGCGTAATTTTATGTTAAATGAATTATATACTGTCGGCGAATAATGGGTTCAAACTGGATAATTGACACTTAATAATTTTTATATATGGATTTAATTTAAGATGTATGTACTGAGGATGGTCAGATGGTGACCGAAACGTTTACGTAATAGAAAATAAAATATATTTTGTGCTAATTCTAACTGGCGCTGTGGCTGTGTGCTCTTTATTAATTTGCTTTTATTATTTAAGCCACTTATTATCTTATATATAAAAAATAAAAAGTTTAAAAATAAAACATGTAATTATGAAACACTGTGAAATAAATTATAATTCTAATTTATGAAAAATAAATTTCATTTTTTTAACATAAAAGTGGTTATAACTCGGAAACGCTTATTTCCGGACCTTTGTTTATATAGCTTTTTTCGTCCTTTTTCGCTCCTGAATCACCTCCTAAAGTATTAGCCTCGATTTTTTGGACACCCTGTATATGCCGGGTGTTTCAGACCACCCGTCCCACCTTTTTATCTTCGCAATATAAGGTCCAATCGAAAAAGTGTTCAGACAAAAGAAAGGTTTCTAAAGACCTATTTACTGGCGCTATGGATTTGATATTGGGTGGCATCGCCAAGGTCAGGTCAAGATCACATCGACTTTTTTAAATGGAACCCCTTATCTTTCATTACATTTTTTTGTAGCTTACCTCGAGAGCTTTTCAAAACACTATAATAAAATATTTTTTCCATTAAGTATTTTTCGAGTTATAAGGCTCGAAAGTTACAGTACAGTCGGCATTAGCATTACGTAAGTTATCTGACCGACGGCTAAAACCTCTTGAATGTTGTTCAGGATCATGTCCTAAATAACATTTGTCAAGATCAAGGTCATTGTAAGCTGTACCTCTTATTTTCATTTTTGCACTAAAAATTCATTTTTACGTAAAAATGAAAATAAGAGGTACAATCACCAATGGGCTTAATCTTGACAAATGTTATCCAGGACATGATCCTGAACAACATTCAAGAGGTTTTAGCTGTCGGTCGGTCGGATAACTTGCGTAATGCAATAATACTGGCTGTACTGTAACTTTCGAGCTTTATAACTCGAAAAATACTTAATAAAAAATATTTTAATATAGTGTTTTGAAAAGCTCTCAAGGTAAGAAAATGTTATGAAAAGTAAGGGATTCCATTTAAAAAAATCGATGTGATCTGACCTTGGCGATACCACCCAAGATCAAACTCATAGCGCCAGTAAATAGGTCTTTAGAAACCCTACAACTTTTATCTGAACACTTTTTCGATTGGACCTTATACTGCGAAGATAAAAGGGTGGGACGGGTGGTCTGAAGCACCCGGTATATCAAGGTCATGACCTTGAATATATTTCATCTTTTTTCTGATTAGGTACGATCATGACATTCTCGGGTAATCGTTTTCAGGTGAATCCAAATCCATTACAGTCGAAAAAGTTTCATATGTCTATGGAGTGCATTTATTGACCTCTATCCATACTCCGACGATATATACATGGGGATAGAAATGACTATCTAAAGTTGCACTTGGAAAAGCATGAAAAGAAATGAAAAGGCTTGAAAAAGCATGGCCGAGCATTTGTGTCCACATTCATACATGTATTGTCAATACTAAGAATCTATGTAACGTGATCTTTAGATTTTTTGTTTTACCAGTGTATATCGGATTCAATCGAAATATTATCAAAGAAGAAACATTATTGTAAGTAACAATACAAAGAAGTAACGTTATTGTACACGCACTAACAACTAATAGATCTCACTCACTGAACTGACTGGACGTCAAATTTTTTTTAGTATTATACACTATATGTACGCACGGCGACACGAAGGCCTGACCATACCTTTTCAAGCCTTCTAATTCCTTTTTATGCTTTTTCCAATACGCGTGCAACTTCGGATAGTCATTTTTGTCCTTATATATACATATATCGTCGGAGTATGTTACATCGGCTATACGTACACACGAGTAGTGGTTTAATGAGTGCACTTCATATTTAGTCGCTTGAAGCTTTTGATCGTAGTAGATTTGGATCCATGAGATCGATAATCCGAAAATGATATAATCTCACGAAACGTGATGAGCGACGTAATGCTGACGTCCGGTGTACGAGAATCATAACCTCGTTACACCAGCTGTCAGCTGACCACAGCTGACAACAGCCGCGTCTTTCCCGTCTGACACTATTCATTCACAGCACCATCTGGATTAATATTCAGGAACTAATTTGTTACTCTAAACAGTCTAAACTGTCGCATATCGTCAATTTCTCACGCGCTAGACACAATTTCGTAGAATGCAATTATCGTTTTATTTAGGCGTATTTTGTAAATCAAAACTCAATTCTAAAGATATGACTGTATTTGTCTTTTTATTCTACATATGCTCCTGCCCTAATTTCGAGCATATAATAATAATAATAATAGTATCCTGGGAGGCAGCCCCTAATTGGGGCCCACCAACGACACGCAGACCAAGTCCATTGTGTCTTCCCAGCCGTACTAACCCCAGGTCAGCTCAAACCAGTCTTCCTCCAGAAGCGAAGGAGATCCCTGACCTGAAGTTGGCATACCTGCTCGGGCTCGAGGAATATCGAGCCCAGTAGAAGCCGCCTGTATCCAGCATACGCTGGACATTCGCACAACACGTAGAGAGTAGTCTCTTCCTCATGTCAACACTTTCTGCACTTCGGGTCGCCGCTAAGCCCCAGCTTGTGCAAATGATAGTTGGTGAAGCCATGGCCCGTGTAGATCTGCACCGCTAACCTGGCTTCTCCTCTTCTTAAGGCCCTAATGTTCTTAGCAAGGTCCCTACTGGGCACTTCTCCCAGCAGGGCCCTTGCCTTCTTGTTTCTTCCTTCCAATAGTTCATATGGCGGTCGCGCAACCAGTCCCTTATTCTCGCCTTGGCCCTACAGCCTGGCAGTCCAAGGGCCGGTTCCGGCCCCACTAATCTAACTGAAGAACCGCTCCTTGCCAGCTCATCAGCGACCTCGTTTCCCTGGATTCCCGCGTGCCCCGGGACCCACACGAGAGCAACGTCATTGCCCGCGGCTAGCCTGTTCAATGCATCCTTGCACTCCCATACCAGCCGCGAGTCAAAGACGCACGCCCCCAGCGCCCCTAGGGCCGCTCTACTGTCTGAGCAGATCTTAATACGCCTGCCCATCTGCTCAGATGTAATCAGCAGTTGAGCACAGCTCATGATTGCCACCATCTCTGCTTGAAAGACCGTGGTGAACTCTCCGAGGGAGAGAGCCTCCTTAAAGCCCCCACGGCTTCCAAAGAACCCCCAGCACCGGCGCCCCCGTCAGTTTTGGAGCCATCCGTGTACCAGACGTCCCCATTCCTGATAACAAGCACCTCGTACCTCTCCCACTCCTCACGACTAGGAAGATAGATCTTGAAAGATCTATCAAAGTCGCGTTTTCTCGGCACCCTATCTTGCCTCATATCCAACACGGTTTCCATTTGGATATCCCGTGGTAGCCGAGTGTGGCCCACCCCGATCGTCCACTTGCCTTCACACTTTAACCTATACGCCGTGGCCGCTGTTGCCGCCACTATCGCAAGGTGGAGTGTTTCGATGCCGAGCAGCACTCCT